CACCACCTTCAAAACTCCGACCTCCTTTTCAAATCCACTGACACCACGTGGAAAACGCCATTAATCATTCATCTCAAGCATACGGAAGAAAAAGCGTATCGCGCGAGATCGTCTGAGGCGAACAAGAAAAGAAAACAGGACAGGAAGGATTACTTTGCCTCCTCCAGTGGCTCAGCCTTCAAGGCCACAGCTGCTGCATCCCTTTTCGGGTCAGCAAGGGCCATGGGTACCGTAATAACGGTAAAGGGCTATATCCTATCCCCATGGATCCAACTCCTGTTTATCGCCGCAATAGCGGCAACAATCTTGATTCTGATGCCTCCCACGCGTCATGGACACAGCGACGATCTATCATCTGTTGGAAGACCACGCAGGAATCGACCAGCCTTACAGAGCTGAGAGAGGCCTGATTCCATCCGATGGCTGGGGTCACATCCAGTACATCGAGGGTAGAGATGTCTACCACGATCAGTACACTTGTACTGAGAGGCAACAGATCACATCTACAACCACGCGCAAGCGCAGGTGTAGACGGTGTTACGAGATCGCAAAGTCCCACGGAGCTGGACTATACGTGCCACCACCTCCTCTACCGGAAGGCGTGGCGTCGCAAGCAGCACCAGCCAAAGTATTGGCAAGTCCAAAACTGCGGGGACCACCGCCTAAGGTGGGTTCAATGACTCCACCTGCAGAGACCCCGATGACACGGGGCGAGCAGGTACGAGCAAAAGGTCTTGCCGCGCTAACGGCCATTGACCCAGAGACTGAGCCAGAACCTTCCTCCAGCTCGGTCCAAGGAGCCGTAGCTCAAGGGCAGCATAATCGGAACACCGATCGAATGCTTGCAAGAATGCATGCCTGCAGAGACTACTCTGCTCCGGCAGGCACTCGTGTACCATCAGGCAATCTCCAGGACAACCCTGACTATAAAGGTGCTTACACAGCCCTTTTTGAGTTGCCTGACCGTTACAATGTGGACATGAGTACAGTTGAGGCCATTTCTCAAGGCCTCATCGTCAGCCACGAAGCTGTCAGATTTTATGAGCAAGCCTTGCTGCGTGTAGAGCAGCAGCTCTTTGAGCAAACAGAAACAGAGGCTAGGCTCCACGAAGAGATGTACAAAGTTGAAGAATTATCGTCCATTGTACAAGCTCAAGATGAGCACAAACTCCGATTGGAGGAAGAGCGCATTAACGCGGAAAATGCTCAATACGTGGTCGAGGAAGACTTAACACGTAGGCTTCAAGAAGCCGAATAAGAAGCCAACCGCGAGACCTCCAGAAAACTTGCAAAAGAAAAGCAGGAGAAAATCTCCATCTTTCGTCTGCTGGAGAATCGCGATAATCAGATGAGTTCCGAAATATCGGACCTAACCATCTCCCGGCAAGAAGCCGTGCTGCAGTACGAATTTGCTTGTACTCAGCATAATGATGATATCCGCGCCATTAGGCAGGACAACCAGCGATTACGGGAGCAACTGCTCGAAGCGTACAGGATGAGAGATAATTACCATCAACTGGTAGACGAACTATCGAGCTGGTCGCGAGGTTCACATCGCTGAGATCGCGACGATTAAAAATCGATTATGGAGCGCGGAATCTGAGCTCAATAGAGCCGTTCACCAGCTTGAACAGTCTCAGGAGTCCCGCAGAGGTCTCCGACAAAACCTGGCTTGAAATAGAATTCACCAAGTGTAATCGACATTGATGCTCAGACATCGCAACTGGAATAAAATTTGTCTGATCGGTCCAAACCCGTAGAACAGATTGGAAATAGAACCGCGGGCAGAAGATCATCAGATGTGTAGATTGATGGTCAGCCATGTGTAACATGAATCTGGAATGTGTCATCTTCTTGAACTCCAATACTTGTGCTTCTGTAAGTCTCCATGGCTGAGTTGCGAGCGTCTCATTATGTTTGCACCACTGAGCTGGAAAGAATTCTTCCCAGAACCGCTGAAAAATCTGCAAGGGAAATCCTTGATTCAGAAACCATCAATCAATTTTGGTTCGAAACCTCTTCAGGTAGGTATCATAACGCACATATACAGTAGAGCTGGCGCTGTAACTGACTAGTGATTGTAGTCGAAGAGGTAGATCCAGTAGCGATGCGCTGAAGGCAACATGGCCCTCAACAATGTTGACTCGAGGATGAGAAGCAATAAATTGATCACAACTGCATGATAATGTCGTTGGGTCCAGATTGCGCATCTTTGTCTCCCAATGTTGAAAATTGAACAGCAACTTCCCAACTGAAAGATGAGCTCCGTCTTCTACAACATGGGAAGGAAGATGTAGCGGTATAAGCCAATGCTTGTAAAACAGAACCTGATTTCGAAGCCGCTGCGTAATTTCAGATTGAAAGCTCTGGTGCCAAAAACGGCATTCGAAGTCGTATCTTGTGTTCGGGTATTGTGCATCCTCTAAACTTCATAGCAGCACGAAGAAGTTGACAAACTCTAGTTTTTGCAGGTTGTTCGGGATTGTTTGCAATTCACCATAATGCATAAACCTCAATATCTGTCAATGCCTGTGAACAGATCCTCTTTGCAGCTTGAAAAGATGAAGCATCAAGTTGGGCAAGATCATACAATAATTGCATTGCAAACTTCTTCTGGATAACAGCTTGAGGATGAACTTTGAGAGTACCAAGTCTTCTGCGCATCTTGGCAACGAGTCTAGTAAACGTATGAGAAGAGGACGATTGGTTCTTGAACCTAATCTTTCGTGGTCTGAACGCCGTCTTCTTGAAGAACTTGTAGATAAAAGGAAAGTTTAACCGAGCCTGCCATGAATCGATAAGAACATGTTCCTGAACACATGCATCCTTGTAATTGCCAAAGCATTGAACAACCAAGGTGGAGAAGGCCGCGTACGGTAACATAGATTTGGCCCATACTCGAAGCGCAGGTTCAACTTGCACATACTGCCCCGCTTGAAACTGTTGAACTTTGGCACGACGATTGTTTTCTCTGCTAAGAACTCCCACCGATGTACTGCCAATGTAACACCATTTGGTACTTTGGTTGAGGGTTCTTCTGGAAGATTGATGTGTCCACGGAATCATTAGTTTAACATAGACTGAATGGGTCGCGGTAATCAAAGTGCACGAATACTTCTGAGGATGTACTCCAAGGGCTCGAAGTTTTTCTCGGATCGCTTCAGATTGACTGGTAGCCGCAAAGTAGAAGATCAAAACTAGATGCATTGCACCTNNCTTGTATCCACATGGGGCCTGTCTTGTCCACTGCCGGTAGATGATGTAGAACAAAAGTCGAAAATTTTGCGAGCAGGATACAGCATTTGTGCAATTTATCAACCTGTTCAGCTGGCAATGGATTAGCAAGTTGCTGTATGAGTCACGCTGCCAACATTGTTGCTGTAGCCATAACAGCTGAGAGGGATTTCAGGCCCATGCGATTCGCAACACTAATTGGAATGCCAAACTTCACGGCAAGTTCTTTGAGGCGATCTTTCGACATCTGTGAGGTTTTATCTGATGAAGTCTTGTAGATCTCATCAACCAAGGCCTGAAGCTCTTCAAACTTTTGAACGCCCAAAGTCTTCTTAAAGCCTTTAACCCAAGCTTGGGAGGCCTCATTAGATGGTCCTGTCAGTTGCTTGATCTTAGCCCTGAGGGTGCCTTGCTCGATATTTTCGAGGTGATCTAGGGTTCCCGGCCGTGGATCATCTTGCGGCGCTGAGGGCCTGGGGCATCTGGAGCGGTAATGTGTTCTGAGAGCCCGAAGGTGGCTCATCTGAGACCGCTGCCGGTTTGGCTGGTGACAATTCAACTCCCTGAGCTCTTAATTGTTCTTCTCTCTTGGCTAATTGTGTCTTCAATGCAACCATTTCTTGAGAAGCTTTAGAGTTGGCCTCAACCGGTGCATACTTCTGAAGAACTTGAAGGAGCTGCGTCAAAAGTGGACTGTACAACGCAGCAACATCCGAAGTCTTAGAAGGTAAAGATGTTTGGGGGTTCTGCTGTACCCGGGCAATCTCTGCGGCACCATCTAAGTCGAGGTGACGCTTACGAACGAGAGAAAGAAGATGAGCAACAAATACGCTTTCAGCCACTGACCTTGCAGGTACTGTAGAGACAAAACGTCCATGGCTGAGAATTCGTAGGGACCACTCCGAAGCTCCATGACACATAAGCTCATGCGCTTTAATGTCAAAGACATCTCGTCCTGCCAGTGCTCTTTTGCGGGACCAATGACTGGCTTCCACTTTCTTGTTGAGTGTAAGACCATGTAATTCCTTGGAGTCATAGCATAACTCAGTGGTGGCAAATGTTGCTGGAAGAGTACGTCTTTCTGAAACAACCGTTTCATCATCTTGACTGGCAACAGGACGAATGCTCTCCCCCTTTCCCTTGCCTAAGGAAGATTCTGGGTACGGATTGCCTCGAAAGTTGGACTTGTTGCCTTTGTACGCACCATAACTGGGTTGGCTGCACCATCCATCATCCTGGTAATCGTAGGAGCTAGACGAGGATCTAGGAATTCCAAGACCAAGAATTCCAGGACATGGCTGAGGTCAAAACTAAGACCACGAAACTACAAAGTCACTGAATCTTGGGCAAACGGGCAAACTTGTAAGCAAACAGTACACATCAGTGAACAACTGCTCAAGGTGATGCTACATGCGACACTTGCACAAAGTCAGTGGCAATCCCAACTGCACACGCAACCCTGCACTTCTTCTTTTACTTTATCGCCGGGATTGAAACAGGTAAATGGAATCCTTGGCTCGACGTCAGAACTATTTCCAGAAAGGCCGCCGAAGAATTGGTTCTGAAGAAGGAAGACTCCATTGCAATATTGACACCGCAGGGATCGCCAATGTTCATCCAGCATTAATCTTGATATTCCCGAATCGCAAACCCTGTCGGGCGAGACGTGCTGACACGAAACGCCCATCTGCCATCCTTTGCTCGTACAATATCATAAAACATGGAGGCGGAGATATCTGTCGGAATTCCGCCAGATTTGGGTTTCACATGAGTGTGTTCACGGATTATAGAAGGTCCCAACACACAACATGGACGATGGGAGGACTTGTGGATTGCCGCCTGAAGCATGGAGATCTGCTCGTCAGTCAGGTGTCCCCTTGCGTAAAACGTTGAGCTAGGAGCCCACGCGACGTCCTTGCGGTCAAAGCTAGATGGCCTCCATATGCCCTGGTGCAAAATATGCGCAGCAGCGTTCCAATCCGTGTTATGAGCCACGTAGTATTGTTGAATGTCGCCGCGCAACGGTTCTAGTCTTGCTATGCCATGAGTAAGGTTAAGGTCAGCCACCAGACCTACCCAATGTTCATTCAGCTTGACAAGACGTACTCCTGTTACATGATCCACTGTTCGGGAGGCCAAGAGGACATTCGCCATGTCCCGCCAGTTTTGAACATCGCAAGGTTTACTGGATTCATTGGCTGCTGAAGCAACTCCCCAAGATTATCCATGGTGGTAGAAACAAGTGAAGAGGGCAGCGTGGTAAAATCAAAACGGGGAAGACGAATCTCTGTAGCTGATTTCCGACTGCTCAATGATGATGCTAGCAAAGGTCTCAGTTTAAGGAAAGTATTGACCATCTTCTCCCAGTTAAACACTGCTTCATCGGAAATGGTCACAGGACCCTCTTGATCATACACCCGAAGTTGCTGAAGTGGTTTCCGCACACGGAAGGTTGGATTTGGAGCCAGCATACCTCCAAAGCGCCATGCATCACTGACTCATTGGCAATATCAGAATCCTCCAATTCGTCAGCCACTACAGGAGGTAAGTGCCAGAAAAGGCCCCCACTATGGCGCCAGCCCTGCTTTGGCAGCTGGCCACTGAATCTCAGGGGCTCCCAGCGATAATCCAGCCGTAATGGTTGAGAGCGTTGTACTGCTTCGAATACACAGAGCTGCAGACTGTACACCAGCGGGGCCGTTACACCCGGGTTGGGGCTGAAGGGCTCCCGGCGATGGCCCAGTCGTAAGTGTTGGGACATTGAAGGTGTTCGGAGCTAGCAGGGCTCCGGGCGATGGTCCGGCCGTAAGTGCCGGAGATGTTGCACCATGCTGAGGCCCAAACACTGGGTGGATCACCGGCACCATGGTATTTGGGTTCGAAGCAAGCTGAGTACTCATAAGAGCAAGTTGTACGCTTGCAGCATGCGCCTGGTACAACACTTGTACCCATGCCTGTTGAATTGCTCCTCACTAGCAAGTTGAATCGAAGTGGTCATAGGACCCATCGCGAAATTGATGGAGATTGGGCCTTGTGAGGTTTCCTGGGACTCCCTTTGAGAGGGGTTATCATCCATTCTTGGCGCCACATCTTGAAGGGGAGGATTGTTAGGTGGCAGACTCGCGGCGCCTGATCCTGCCGGCGTGTTTGCCAGCCAGCTAGGTCGGACCGGCATCGCTGATTTAGGTCGTGTTCCCCTGGTTGGGAACATCTTCACGAATTGTTGAACCAACGCAGGACGAAAACTGAATCACAAGGATTTGGGCCTAAATTGCAGCGCGTAGCCAGTTTCAATGAAGGAATCAACAAATCTTCAATTGGACTTCAGCATAGGAATCAATTGTTTGTTTCAGAACTTTCATGACCTGAGTTTCAAGCAGGTGAATCAGCTACTTTTCAGAAGGAAACTCTTCCCGTCGCTTGGAAATCAGAAGGAATCAAAAGCTTTGAAAAGGTGGCGCCCTGAGGGAAAGCCACACTGAATACACACTTGAGCAGACCAAGAGGTCTAATGGGTGGCCATTGCGATTCTCTTCTCCGCTTCTTCATTGTTGTCATTTATTCTGACGAAAATCTTTGCTCTGAGGAGATCTTGCATAATCTCCTTCCCCAACCTCTTGTTACTGCAATGCTGGCTCAACAGTATGCTTCCCGAACCAACAACACCAAANNCAAGAATGGACATGCTGTCTGAACTCGATTGCACATGCGTGACACAATTGCAATCGCTCATTTTGAACTGACCGGTACATTATGCTCATGTAGGACACAGAAAACTGTTAAGGCAACGCCGGCCGTCTAATCTCCCNNTCTCCCGCACAGGGGCGGTCTTTCTAATCTGCCACACAGGGGTGGTCTTTGCAGGTACGTCCAGGTGATCAGCCTGGAGATCCTCCCGACTCAAGAGCAACTTCGTTGGCAGTGGTCTCTTGAGTGGGCCACTGCCCCCTGAAAAATTGTTTCCATGACAAATCCGATTAGTGCTGAAAAGGAGGATTAGCATTAGTTACAAACTCTTTGGCACAGAGGTTGACAGACACACACACACACACGCGCGCGCCCACGTTTGTGTAATTATTGAATATGAGTACATACATACATATATATATATGTATATCTTCATATACTTAGTATGGCAATAAACCATATGCGAAATGTACACGTCATACCAGCTGCAGCTGATGCCGGCTTCGCGCTCGCGCAAAGTGCTAGTCGTTTCGCCGCGGAATGCGATCTCAAGAGTTTGCATTCTTTTATACGCGTCTTCTTGTATCGCCCGGCGACGCTATCTGAATAGTCTAACACTTAAGCTTGGGTTAAACTACACATGTAGGGTTCTCCGGTCCTTTAATTGTTTGATCTCTTTTTACCCCCGCACCTTCTTGTACAAGCCAAAGATGATCACCTACACAAAAGGCCACAAGGCTTCACTAAAGCCCGTCAAGCCTCAAAGCCCCAAGGCCCCCAGGCCTTCTTCTTGGGACTGTAGTGTGTCTTCAAGTGCTGAAGTAACCGAGCAGGCTTCTCCTGTCCGAAGGGCTTCCGCACTTGGCGCTCACAGGGAGCGTCCCTTCGCTCTTTGGGACGACCCCCAAGTCTACCCTCGCTCCTTCTCGTTCCTGATCACCTGAGATTGGCTCCCAGGGCGGGCTGAAGAGGTAAGACCTCAACCGGCCTCAACCAGCTGGCAGATGGAGGTATTGGCCACCATGCCCTCGTCCACTGAGCCGATCCCCACCTGCCAGCACGACTTCAGTGCCACGAAGCCGCCGCACGACGGATGAAGCTGCTTGGCTCAGCTGCTTGGCTCCGGGCATGCAGCGGCTCGCTCAGGAACTTGGTCGCAAGGGCATGCACCGTTGCCTCGAGCGGGTGTGCCGCAATGCTTGCCCACCAGCACTGTGAAACGGTGTAACCTGCCATGTCGAAGCTGAAGCGCAGACTGGCCAAGTTGCACTGAACATGCAGGTCTGCCGCCTCACGCTTTCTGCCAACGTCTGAGCCACGCAAGACAGGAGAGAACCGCAGAACATGCACAGGCCGTCAGAAGCCGCAAGACGGAAGGCTGAGCAAAGCACCGCCCAGCCTCGTGAACAGATCGGTTGGCTTAGAGAAGGCTCGGCTATGCAATCGGCCTTGGGCATCTTGCCGATCAAGGACTTCACGGCATCCTCAGCCAAAGGGAACACCACTTTCACAAGTGCGCCGTCTCAGTCTCAGCAGTCTCAGCGTCGATGAAGCCCAGATCCAGCATTCTGTCTGCCTGAAGCCAATACCAGAGCTTGAAGGTGTGGCAAGAAACAAGAATGCACTTTGAGTGAACCGTGAAGTGTGGCCTTTAGCAGAACTCTCCATTTTTTCCGCCACAGTGGCCTTTGGCCGATGGAGGTATTTCGCTAGCTGAAGCTGTGCCCCCTGCAGTCTTGCTAGGTACAGCTAGTTGCTGTGACCTAGATCCAACAGAAGGCTAAAGCTGTGATGGATGCAGGATCAGGGTTCGATCCCAAACTGAAATTCCTTGTGGTGCAGCACATCTAAGGCGGGTCAAAGACCGGGTCATCGACCCTCAAGAACTTCGCCGAACGTGTTCCAGACCTTGCCAGGTTCAGACTTTCTCCGTCTGTCCAGGGGCTGGGCTGGGCCGGCTGGGGGTTTACTCGGCTTTCGGGATGCTGTGAGAACACTGGTAGAGCTGGCATGGCTGGCATGGCTGGTTTGGCTGGTTAGGCTTCTGGGTGATCCGCAGGTGGCCATGGATTGTTGAAGTGCGGAAGCGGAAGCATCATCCTGAAACAAGGTCGCCAGGCTCCGTGCTCGAGTCTTGGGCTGTCTTTTCGGTTTCAGCAAGAGTCTCTGTCCTGGCAAAAGCGGCGCCTCCAAGGGGAAGCATCGCCCCTTGTGAACATAGGTTGTAGGCTTCCAGGCAGGTTTTCCTTTCCGCCGAAAATCGTAAAGCTTGCTGACAGCCCCATCTGCCGGCCATGTGCGCTCAGGATTTCCCGCACGTTCTTTGTCCCAGGCATTGAAGTCTTTCTGGGGCAGGTAGCCCGTGAACCCAAAGCAAGAGTCCTGGTGCTCCCATGCAACAGGACTCCATGCTTTCAAATGTTCTCTTGGCGGCAGCCTTGAAAAGGAAGGCCCCAAAAAGCCCACGGAGGAGTCCAGTTCCCGCCCCACTGTTGCAATGCACTTCCAATCCTTGGTCTGAGAGATTCCAGACATCCGGACTACCAATCTGAGGATGCGCCCCAAACCCAAACCTTCTCAGCTGAGGCTCCGGTTTGCGAAGCTCCTTGGACTGGTCCTGGTTAGAGCTCAGCCGGGCTCTTTCCAGATTCGGATGTTGCGGATTCTGTGCTCTGAGCAGCGTTGGCATGCTCTTTGAGCTGGAGATGTGTTCCAGAATCTCCTTTGAGATCAGCAAATTTGTTTCAGTGACAGGAATCTAGGACAACAAAGTGACTGTTCTGAAACACGACCCGTCCGAGAATAGCTGATCTTTATCGTTCGAGCCACCTGCAGGCAGCATCTTGCTGGAACTTGAGGTAGCAACCATTCGCCAAGCGCATGACTCATTCCCTCATTATCTGCACTCTGTGCAGACACTGATTAGTATTTCCGGCTTGCACCTTCAAGCTCCCAGGGCGCAGGTGCAGTCATCGCCTGCACGAACAAATCAAACAACAAACCCAGCTTTTCTGTTTTCACTCTCCACACCTTGAGGTCAGAGAGCAACAGGCCACATGAGACTTGCAAGTGGCTGCGTTCACCAGATGAGATCTGATTACAACAAGGGGGTTCATGTTGTTGCTTGCAGTACCTGATACCTTAAGTCCGGCCGGCAGTCATCCCAATCCTTGCCAACGAGTACTTGGATCGATGTGCTGTGAGCTTCTGAAGGCTTGAGAACATGCTGCGGCAGGCATTTGCTATTCGCGGCATGCAGGCAAAGCACGTTGAACGCATCGCTGGTCGGCTTCAACGCATCAACTGCGTCGCTGTCGTTGCTTGCGACGAAGCGTGGTGAAGGCGCAGACAAATGGCAAGGGGACTCCGGGCGCAGGGGGCAGCTACAGGCCAGACACGAGGCTTGAGGCACTGTGAAGTGTGACCCCAGGTTCCTGCCTCATCAAGTACGAGGTATTGCCTCAGGAGTGGGAGTGAAGCAAACAAGTTTGCCGTCTGCCCGCATGTGACATCATGTGACCGATGAGCCCGCGTCACAGAACCCAAATCCAAGGTCTGCTCCTCGACCAAGTCCTTCGAATAACTTTACAAGTCACCATGTGACCTAAACAGAACTACACTTGTGCGGCTGGAAGCAACCTTCTGAAGTTCAGCTAGGTCCTGGAGGCGTCCGGGGGTGCAAATGGCCATGTCAACGCCTCTTTCTCGAATGGCCTGGCAATGTTGCAACAAACATCCACGCTGCTCTTTGAAGTACACTGTTTTGTTTTTGTGAGCGTAAAGAATCCCCCAGCCTCTCGCTGATCTCGTTTGGGCACGCCGCCGTAAATGCACTGCACCGGATAAAGGCCCTGGAGTAAGTCTCCCAAAGGAGAGCCAGGAGAGCAGGGAAAAGAGAGAAAGACGAGGAAGCTTCAGAAAATAGCGTCCTCCTCGCCAGCGGTCAAGGCCTGCACCAAGTCACTGCAGACCTGGCAAAGACGCGAATTGCAAAGAAAGCTTTCCGGGAAGGGAGAGGCCCAAACTTCTGCGATCTGCATGGCCAACTCCCTGGCAAAAGAAGCAAAGCAGCTAAGCAGGTGAAGGCAATTCGAGGAGCCCTCTTTTGGCTGAAAGGGAAGGGCTGAGCTCTTGTGGCTCTTGGCCTTGTTGGTGCCAGGCCAACAAATCTCGGCCACGCACAGGGCTGCTCAAAGACCTCCAGCTCGCCGAGCCTGCTCAAAAACCACCGTTAATCCGTTTCAAACCGAGGAAAGTGCCTTGACATGCTGAGGTATGGAAGAGCGAATGCCAGAGTCTTCCCGCTGCCGGTCCTTACTGCCGCAGCCGCTGCAACTGCAAATAATGTTGAATCCTGCAAGTGCCGGGGGGGGGGGAAGCGAATTATTCTGGACCCCCTATATAACATGTGGCGGGTGCCAGTCAAATAAAGTCTTCTCCCGAAAAATGAGGGAAGATTTTTTGCTATGGCCAGAATGTTGTTACCTTTCCTTTCCTACACTCCTACACCTTCTACAACGAGGGTGACCACCAAGAGAGAGAGCTCAGGCCCCAAGCGCCAAACACTTTTGTTACGACCCTAATTTCCCACGAGATTGGTCTGCCCAGAACCCTGGGGAGTGAGTTAGTGATAGTCTTGTTGCAGTGCTATCAATCTATGTACAATCCATGTGAACACAACCGCATGTTGCCTTTGCTCTCAAGGTTTTACGGACTTTGTACTCGGGTAGCGCGATAGCAAAAAGACACCCGTCCGCCTGCTTTACCGTGCTTTGTGTTAGAGGTATTGCACCCCGGGTCAATCGCAACGTGGTAGCGGAGCTCTCGCCAGGGGGGGGCTCTGTCTAAGCAGAGGTACCCAACCAAGGTGAGGACCCTGCCGCGCAGGGGGCGTGAAAGGAGAGAGCTCCCGCAGCAGCTTTTTAGAGCAGCCATGGCAAAAAATTACACTGACACGCGTGATGAGGACCCCTATGATGAGGCGTACACCACGCAAGCAATGTCAATTTACGACAGAATCAAAATGTCGCAATTTTCCCAGGTGATGACCAGAATGCCAATTTCATTCGATGAAAAGACAGCATGGTTTGTTTTTTGAATGAGAACTTGGCAAAGCTGAATGAAAGTACCCTAACGAAAAGCCTTACATCCCCTCGCTGCGCATTGCCATGCTGCATCGCAGGAGTGCATCTTGAGGAGCAGCTTACACCTACGTCGCCATCCGCGCCTAAGTTCACCCTCAAAGTTAAAAGGGTAAGTATAATGAACACCAAAAGGGATAAGGTCCATCATAGTCATAGGACAAGGCTGTCCAGCCAGCTCCCTCAGCCTAGCAGGGGATATTGTAATCGTAAGCCTTACAAACTGTACACTTGGCTTGGCGGCAGGCGTGATGCCAGCTATGCCAAGGATGACTGGTACGTAAATGCGCCAAAAACTTAAGTTTTGTGGGCGGTTTCGGGCCAACTTGCTTGGTCCGTTGGTTCCCGTATGCCTCTAAAATGCCCTGAACACGTGGGATCAGATGCTTCTGGATTCCATGTGTTCGATTGCCAGCCCATGTATTGATATCAGCAAAAGGTCCGCACATCAGGCCGCTGGCTTAGCCAGTACTGTGACCCCTCCTCTAGAGGTCACAGTGGTGCAATGGATGGATGGCTTCTTTTCTCCGTCACTGAACCCCGCGGCTGCCGAGCGCACGAACGCCTTTGAGGCTCATGAGCTGCCTACTGGAATGACTGCCAAGAACCTGTCTGAATGGTCTGCACTTTCACACACCCTACTTTATGATTCAGACGGTTCGTCTTTGTCTGGAGCTTCTGCTTAGCTTTAGCTTGAAGGGACCTTTCCTCCTTGACTATAATGAACTGGCCTTGTTTGAGGATATACAACAGATAATCTACAGAAGCCGTAGTCTTCGTCATACTGTCCACGATCATCTGTTTGGTGTCCAACCGTCGCAAAGGTCACGTTACTGTTGACCAAATCCTCCTTCAAGAGAAGCATGTCAATGGCGACCCGCTTGTCCTGATCACGATGCCATCACCCTGCGAGTGATCATACGCTGTTTTGTTGTCTTTGGCCACCATGAGGGGTGTCTGATTTCGAAACCTGAGATTCTCTGCCAAGCTGTAACCATGAGAAGAGAACTCTCCACAACGTCTGGCGCAGCGACAGCTGGAGGAAGCTCTGGAGTCAGGGACCTTGATGAAGATCCCACGCTGTTTGAATTCTTGCAACAAGGTCAGGAAGATGCTCGGCAAGGACAGAGTGTGGCTGCTGCAGTTCCCGTTCCGGCTGCTGAGGAGTTGGATGAGGACCTGCAAGTGGAGATTACACCAGACAGCTTGGAGGTGCATCTCCTGGAGACATTGCAGGCGTACGCCACTGAGATCAAGGAAGACCTGGCCAGCATCAAGGAGACAGATGCCATGATTGCGCAGCACATCCGTGCTACGGAGATTCGTGAAAGAGACCTCACCCAGACGGAGAAGGCCGAGCTGCTAGCAGGCAAGAGCAAGGAATGGCAAAAGCTCCTGGCAACGGGCGCCATCAAGGTCTACAGCGGTGCTGAGGCTACTTCATCCAGTCGCATCCTCAAGTCCAGATTTGTCAAGACTCGGAGGCAACACCGAAAACTTTCCTGGAAAGACCGAGCTGCAGGCTCGGTGGCGCGTGAAGGGGTACCTATACCCCGATGTATGTGAGCCAAACAAAAGAAAACAACGCAACCTAGTTTGCTCACACTTTCGCGTAAACGCCGACCAGGCCTGCAGCCCAAAGCCAGCGCGCAGCGTAAATGATGAAACCCGCAGCTCTGCTGCATTTGCCTCAGCGCAGCAAGGCGACTGGAATCTCACAGGAAGATCCAAAAACCAACTAGCTGACAATTGCTGACAATAGCAGCAGTGACTGGCACTAACACAGGTCACATTGCCCATGGCCACACCGGTCACACAATGATACTACTGCGTGCGTCGTCAAGAATTGAACAAGCCACTCTACTCTACAATGACACCGTTCCAAAGTACGCAGCGCATCCGGCCAAGGCAGAATGAGCACTCATCATGTCCATGCGCAACCCCTCAACGATAGAAACTGCTTGGTCTGCTAGGTCCTTGCAGAACTATGAACTGGCACTGGCACTCACACAAAACTACTAACATGACATGTGTGACATGCACCACGCAGCAACGCAATGCGAGCTGCTAAGCTTCTGCTTGACACGATTCCATGCAAACAGGCTGCGACGAGCCCAACGCAGGCAATACCAGGTGACCGGCAAGAAGATGTTAGCAGTCGGCGCCTGCGCCTAGGCAGCGCTACGCAGTCAAACGACAAGAGCCTCCAGATTCAAAACTTTGCATTCCCGGGCAGCCAGCGCAATTGCCCGAACTTCAGCTTACCTATTTCTTCAGCTACTTGTCTGGCACGGGCAAAATAATCTATATGGCGGAACACGCCACACAACGCTCAACATGAATTGATTTTCAGTCATTTGACATTTGGCTGCTGTTGGCGGCTGCTTTGCGGTTAATTTTGAGAAACTGAGAGTGTAGCTTCCCACCTCGTCTGCGCTGTCTGGCCTCCAACATTCTCACTGGCAAGTGTCTCGATGGGACGGAATGCACTGAATTTCGCAACTCCTACTGTAGCCATCAAGGCAAGCTTGATTCGCGCAAAGCAACTCGCAAGCACACGCCCGTTTTATTGGGTTGATTGGATTTCATTACTCAATGTTACTGACCGCCGACCACTTATGAACCATGACAACCAAAAACGCAGCAGGGCAGCTTGCCTTTGGCCCGGCTGAGCGTTACTTTCCTGGCCAACCAGTTGACCTCTGTGGGTCAGGCGCAGAAACAAGTTACAAGATCACAGCCCGAACCCAGCCTAACTTGCCCACTTGCAGACCACATGTTTCTCCACGTCGTCTGCCTTCTTGGCCAGCGGAAGCCACATCCACATCCACATCCAAAGTGACGTGACCTGCAGGCTCGACCTGTAGCCACGATGAACACGCTGCACATAGAGGTCCTTGCCACCAATGCTCAACCCTACATGAATCTACATGAGTTTCAGCTGATTGGTCTGCCTGGTGTGGAAATGATGCTGCAAGCTACGTGTGGGAGACCAATGCTGCAATCAAGACGCTCATGGTTCAAAAGCTCGGGGCAATCACATCCATCCACGTCCACGTCTGCTGGTGGTTGTAAATCATGTTCGTCACAGTGCACCCCGCTTAAGAAGGCTAAAAGCCCAGTATGGATGGAGGCTTCAGCAACACTTGGGCTCGCAGCTACGCCCTCCTTTGGTAACGGCGCTGCCTCGATGGAGGAGAGGGCGACGCCGCCTAGCATGACAAGGTAGGGTTTCTCATAGGATTAGGGGTTCTAGGTCCTTATCAGAGTCTCCTTCCCCTTTGCATCCTGTAGAGGGTAATGCGTTGTCCCAAACCCGTGTTCCTGCCACAAACCCTGTAACAACTGCATTGCGACCCAAAGCTCGTGCAAAAGACACGAAGGATGCTACAACGCAAACCTTGCCCGAGCCACAGCAGATGCCACAGGTCGTAATAAGGGATAGGCTCACTCTCCCCGAAACTGTAGTTGTAACCTCCGGTAGGGCATACCACACATCCCAACATTGTGAAGCAGTACAGCGAGCTACTACAGTTCGAATTGCTCCCCTCTGCACTTACTGCAGGAATTCAGGCTTGTGATTTTGTATGGCGCTGAGCCCCTGAAAATGGGCAAAAAGAGCGTCAAAGGTGGAGTACCCGAGACGGGTGCTCCAAGGAGGAGCGTGAAAGCTGAGGTCTTTCATCCTTCTTCCGGCGCTGGCAGTATGGCTCAGGCCTGGAGGGTCATTGTGTAAAGATGTAGGCCGAAGGCTGCCAGCGAACTCAATTCTAAGACTTTTCACTTTCCTCGGTCGCTTGAGCAGATAAAATGAGCTTTTGTGGGCCATGGCCGCTGTGCTTTTCTGACTGAGTATTCTTGACGACTCTTGGTTGGTGGTATGGCAGCTGCAGATGGGGCCCACACAGGCCAGTCCATTCAACAGGGTGATGATCGTTTGCAAAAACCCTATACACAAGCAGGGGCACGCCTACCTTTTGCATGAAACCGGGCAAAGCAACATCAGAGGCCAACAAAGCCCCTGCCCGACATACCCAGTTGCTNNGAAAACAGCTGCAACTCTGCAGACACACTCACAACAGTGTTGCAACTAGGACCTACAGATCCAACAGCTGGGCATCCACCGAACACTCACGAGGGAATACGTAGAAGAAGGTTAGGAGAGAGGGCCGGTGTTCTTGCCTAACCCAACCGAACCGGGAACACCAACACCTCTCCTACACACAAGCAGGGGCGCGCCTACCTTTTGCATGAAACCGGGCAAAGCAACATCAGAGCCAACCGGCCCAACAAAGCCCCACAAACTGCCGCTGGCTCTGCAGTAGGCGCGCCCAATCATCCAAACACTTCGCGCGACAAGCAGCAACTGTACTGAGTAACGCAGCAAAAAGGTATACACACACACAGAGAAGGTTGCTGACACTCAGCACTACTGCAACCTTGGTCGCCTAATGAACTTTCTCCACGGCTCAAGAATCTCGTCCAAGGTCAAGGACACACAATTGCCCGCGTTGAATTTTGCTCGCAACTCAGACAAAAACACAGCGACTGCCTCAGCAGCTTTCTCGCCTGCAACAGAGCTCACAGGCTGTTTACCGATCTCGCAGACTCTCCAGCCATGCTGGACATCACTTGTAGACGCAGGACGCTGAACCACAAGCCCGTCTTCAAGCAAACGCGACAGTTCCTCCGAAGTTCCTCCAGCTGTCCCAGGCCCCAGGCCCAAGCCCAGACACTGCAAACGCGTCCCAGGCCTATTCAATCTCCTTGAAAAGCGGGGCCAGAACAGCACGCAGCGCGAGCCTCACCTGTGTGGCCCAAGGAAACCTAGCAACTGCGCCAACACACGGCCGAGTGGATGTAGCCTCCACCAGGCCAGATCGCGCAACACCTTGCTTTGTCTTCTCTTAGGCAACAAAGCCCAGAAGCCCGAGCACAGAGTCAAGCGCCAACCAACGTATGTAAGATGATTTCCGAGGGCCAGTCTTCCATGACAAAGGCACGCGCAAGATCTGCAGTATAGCCAGCACAAACACAACCAAGAAGGCGAATGCGCGGCAACACAAGCAGGAAAAGCCATCGACATAGACTGCCCCCAAGTGCTTGTAACGAACCAACATATGAATGAGTCGCAGAAGCAAAGCTGAGAGACGTGCCCACCAACACGCTGACCAGGCTGCTCCGAAGTGGTTTACCACATATGCGTAGAATTCACCCTCAAGGCTGAAGACAGAGAAGCCCACATCCTCTGCCGCCGTCCGTATCGACTTGTGAGCACCTTTGACGTCTACGCAAAACAGAACCCAGGCAGAGCAATCGACCGCCGCACTGCACCAAGCAGCAAAGCGGTTAAGGGCCGCGGGGCCCGGGGGGAGACGCTACTGAACGGCTGGCAAGCCTCCTTCAATATGCACCATGTAACCTTGATCCAATTCTTCTTGAACCAGTTCACGCACTTTTGACTTCTCTTTTTCCGCTGAAGCATGATTGGCGGCACATAAGCACAAGTCGCAAGTGTCCGAGACCTCCTCACACTCCCGGTCAGTCAGCAAAGGCCAAATCCCAGAGGGAGCGATAGGACGGCGCACTCCAGTAGGCGCACCATTCCGCAACACTTCGCACAGGGATACATCATGATCGCCCATTGGCTTGGCCAAAGACTCCGACAAATTGAGTTTATATGGGGTCAGCTCGAAACCCTGCAGCGCCCAGTCCAATGTCCACTCCGAGAGCAGAGCATACAGCAGAACGCATGACCCGCCTCTTCGTCCGAAAAGAAAGGTCGCTCCAGCACTACGCCAAACAGATCTGCGGCTCTGCGACCCGCATCCGCAGGCATCGATCCCCAAATCGCAGTTCTCACAACGCCAAGTGGATCACCGAAGGCATAAGGCGGCGGGACCTGCCAATCCAGAGTGCCCAGCACCCCCCCCCCTCTTGAAGAACACAGTGCGATACCTAGTCCGCCTAGCTAACTTCAACAACTTCTCACACGCAGATGCTCCGCACGGGAGCGCAATTTTCTTCATAATTTTGAGGATGCTCCGCACAGAGCGATTTCCTTCAAAACGGAGACGAAGAAGACGAGCTCGAGGGGAGCAGTTTGATATAGAATTGATATAGAAACGCTCGACATGATCGTTCAGAAATGATCCAATTTTTCCGAATGCTCCGCACGGGAGCGTCATTTTCGTCCATTCCGGTCGACGAAGTTTCGAGGATGCTCCGAGCGGGAGCGCGATTTTTGAAGATATAAAGATGATCAAACGCAAAAAAAAATCGAATTGTCTCGCGCGGGAGCGCAATTTTTGAGTTAGCTAAGAATGGACTTTTGAGGATGTCCCGCACGGGAGCGCAATTTTCATAAATCCAAGAGCGACCGGTTCGGAGACAGGACTCTCTAGCAAGACTACTTTTTAAAGGCGCAGTGACCTATTTGTAGATCGCAAGCCAACATAAAAAGACGATGTTTTGAGGATGTCTCGAGCGAGAGCGCAATTTTAAGGCGAAGATAGGCGCGTCCCCAATGTTTGCGCGACGGAAGAGCACGCAGGCAAGGCGGGCGACAGCGCAGCCAAACAACTAGAACCCCACAGTGAATGTGGGGAATAAATCCATCCATCCTTGCACACATGCAAGGGAAAAATCCATGTTTCTTTCGCATTCGCCCAGCATGGTCAGTGCTTCGTCGAGAATCACCGTTTTGTTTGTTTATCATCTTATTTTACGTGTTTTCTTGGAGGTTGATAGCATCCCAAATTTATTTCATCTAGATTCAGGCGCAATCCGCGCCAACCCTTGGCCGGATTCTTACATCAAACATATAGCTGCGGCTGGCATCTCTACTGTGAAAAGGTACAAGGAGACACCGTTGTCTTGTGCCATTTTTGAGGTGTGCTTTGGAGATGAACCCCCCTTGTGAGAATTGGGAAAGAGTAGGCTTGTTCCATAACAAGGAAGCTCTTAGAGAATTCTTAGAGGCGGGTAATCCAGAGAAGGACAAAATCCGTAGATGTGGCATGCATGTTGTCCGCATCTGTTCCTTCCATTCGAAGAATTGGCTATGCAATGAAGAGCCCAAACTTACGCGGGGCCATGCTATGCTCCATGGCGGCAGACTGCTTCCATTCTCAGGAGAATATTATAGGTGGCAATGGCGATGCGTCAGCTGAGAGATTTGAAGGCAATAATCAATGAGCATCCTCAAATGAAGACTCATTGTTCCAGCATGTGTTCAAGTCACTCAGAGATGCTAATATTTCTTGCCAAAAGAACAATCTCCATTTGTGCCCCAAACTAAGATTCACCTCACGCAACAGCACAGAGACAAGCCGCCATTTCGAAGAACATTATGGTAAGCCATGGAATCTGGGAACGGAGTGAACTTTCTTCTGTCACGTGCAGTGGTCCAGTCAAGTTCTGTCTTCGTGTGAAATACAGGATGGTATGACAGTTCTCATCCCTGGGACCTAACTAAGAACAGTGCCTCTACTCCTGTGGTCATAATAAATTCACTAACCTTCATCTTGTACTCATATTCTGCTGCAGGATGGAGTGAGCATTTCTCCAGTCATAGCTGTGGCGCCTTCAAGGATGCAAGCAGCCATACAGTCCCCCGCCAAAGGCAGTCGGAAGGGCCAGGGCAAAAGAAAAGGAGAGGTAAAAGGCCAGTGAGCTACGAACCCAAGGCTCTTTCCACGTATGGGAATGCCTGGCTTAGCTCCAAACAAAGTCTGCATATGCCCTAGGCTTCTTCCACAAGAAAGTAAGGGCTCTGCTCTTGCCAGTCAATAGGTTAGCTCTTCTGTAGATATGCCGAGTTTCACCTGAGAGCTCTGGATAGCCGACAAACGGGACGGTTATGCAACATGACGAACATTTGTGGCTGATTGAGTTGGTTACATTCCTGTTGCAGTGCTATCAGTCCATGTACAGTTCATGTGAACACCACCGCATGATGTGCTTGCTCACAAGGTTTAAGAGACTCTGTACTCCAGTAGCGCGATAGCAAAAGAGACACCCGTCCGCCTACTTTACTGTGCTCTGTGTGAGAGGTAATGACGGAAAGGGTCAACCTCAGGAGGGAGGGACGGGGCGGGGACGCGGCGGGAGTTTTAAGATGAATCAAACATTGCTGCCTACTCGCGAGGCATTAGAGAGGTCTTCCAGAGACTCAATACTTTAAGGTTTGGGTTTCATGGCGGTTCCAGACTCGAGGCATTGAAGGGCTTTGCGTCTTACAGTTCATGGCAAGAGCCCACGGCGGTCGCAGCCTGTCGAGTTCCCATGAAGCAAGCACAAACTGTAAGGCAGCCACTTTGCAATGCCGCAGACATCACTCTTCCTAGGGGAGAGATTGTGTTTCCACGCAAAAAAAAGATACGCTTAACCTCACAAAGACCAACGTGCAAATGATTCATGACCAGGATCTGCATGATCAAGGGCCACGTGCATGCCTGAGCTTTGCAATCTGTGAGATGTCCGGTACGCAGCGAAAGCCCATGTTCCGAGTTGCTTGGATGGGCGTAGGCTTCTCAAAATTCTTTGTGCAATATCTGGCAGAGCGACCAAAATCAAGCAGCATAAGCATGGGCTTCAGACGACCTGATGAGTCGCTTCGCGAAGCCCTGGAAGTGGAAGCCTGCAAGTGGCGTGATGTCGACGTCCTGAGAGGCAACTTGGAAAAAAAGGTGGCAAGGTGGTGATTCTTTCTGTGTCCTTGCCCTGAGGGATGTGCACCTGCCCCAAGACTGGCCAACCAAGCAGTGTCTTGCCTCACTTTGTGCGGCTTGAGAAGGTCTTGCCGCATTGCCTTGATGTTGTGCTCATCAAAGTATGCCTGCCAGCTGCCAAATCCGCATCGCAGTCTTGCTGCGTCAATTGTGCTGCGAAGAAAAGTACGGACAACCTTCGCGTCTTCCACGGTCAAGGTTGTCTTCTGCTTTTTGGCCTGTCAAGTGAAGCTGTGCAAGCAGCTCAACAAAGCTTGGCAAAGCGCAATCACCTCGGCTCGACAAGGAAACATGCAAAATGTCAGTTGCCGGTAGATATGCAAACCTCTCCTTCAGCGTTGCAAAAAAATTCTGAGGGGCTTCCCTCGTTACTTGAAAGTAGGAATTGGCACTGAACGCGCATGAGCAAAACTAAACCAAAGCAGATTGAGCCAGAATCCCAAACGAAAGGGAGACCAAACACCTATCCAGTCCCACGTGCATAGCTGAAGACGCCAGAAACACCAAACATGGATGGAGTCTCCCCAAAAGCTAGGTCCTGGTCCTCAAAGGGAGCTACATGTGGCATGCCGCCTGCAGGTCTTCCGTGCCAGGCTTGCGAGCACCTTTCCTTTTCCCAGCTGCCATGTCAGGAGTTGTCAAGACTGATTACTTGATATCGCTGATACGTTATTCAGGTTCAGAAAGATAGAGATCGAAGCTGATGAACCCTCTGTGGATTGAAGAGCTGATGGCTGCGCGATCAAAGGGCAAACACCTGCACAGGCTGAGCCAGCTGGCACGTGTCACGTGTTCGCATTGTTCGCTACCTTTTACATCCAACTATACTCCTACGCAGCAGATGCTGATGTCAATGTGGTCGTTTTCCGCAAGCAGCAAACATCCGGAGGGCCAGGCTCAGCAACTGAACCGAATGTGACTCCTAGTGATTTTGATCATGTGCTGCCGAAGTTGTGATGCAGCACCCGCCCTGAAAGCTGGCATGCCCAACTTCATGAATTGCTGTGCACAAGGATCTTCTGGCGTGGAGAGGTGAGGTCCCCTCCGTCGAGATGAGACAAAGAATCCGCTTCAACTTGGGTCGGCTGCACCAACGCTCCAACAATCTGCAGCTCTGAAAGGCACGCTTGAAGTATGCAAAGCCGGTTGACGACCTTTGCCACACAAGTGGGCCAGCATCGAACGCCGCAGCTGCTAGCACAGCTCCCCAGAACAGTTCGAAACAATGGCCAGATGCCACAACGATTCTTGGCTGAGCCTGTTGCTACCATTGTATGCGTACTATCGGGACTGCAGTAGTGCATGTTTGCAGTAAACTCTCGAGGCAAAGCTAAGCTGGAGGGATCCAGGGTAACCGGGTAACGGTACCATCTGCTCTTCAAAGTGGCAAGACCAAAAGACCAATGCTAGCACTGCTAGCAATGAAGCAGCTGATGCTGAGAACTTGGTGGTTGAAGGAAGGGGTGCAACAGGCAGTATTGCGGCAGTATGTGTGCACATGTCCTGAATTTGTTCCAAGCTCTCAAATTTTACCTGACTGCTTCGGCATCAAAGCATGGAAGGAAAAGTCGAATACAGGCTCATCAACAGCAACAGCCGCTACGCTGCTACGCTTGCTTCAATTAGGAAGCGCCACCCCCTGTCGAGATTTTTTTCAAGTGAAGGCGCGCGCGGATTCCACACAGCGGCGCTGCTATTCAACTACAGGCAGAGGCGAACCGACCCTTCCCGACACTGCCAAACACCATGGAACACAGCGGTTAGGGCGAAGGCAAAGAAGTGCCTGCCAGAAAGTGCAAACACCATGTAAACGTACAGGCCAACATTAGGAAATCGACCCCCAACTCTCATCCAAAACCATGCTTCCCCATCTGAACGCTAGCAATTGGGGCCCATCAAAAAAAAAAAGCATCCGGGAAGGTCCTTTGTTACCTTCCCCAAGAAACGCGGCTGACAGAGGACAAATCTTAAACTTAATGGTCATGTTTTGAATGGAATGATAACCGTTGTCTTGAAGCTAGTTCAAGTGGTGCTTCAAGTTTACCATCTAATTCAAACCCTTCTGGCAGCAATATCCATGCGGAACAAAGCCGGAAAATATCTTACTGAATGCGGGCATGCGCGCAAGCCATGCGCAATGGCGGCGGAAGGCCCGAGTAAGGCAAATCCTCGGTTCTTGGTCAACAAACGTGTTCAAAGCCTAGACACTAGCAGCCAATCCGAGCGCTGAAGGTTGTAGGGTCTAGGCTTTGGTGGCGCAGCGTTTTCAGACACCCCACCACTTCCTCCGCAGCGTGATGTACGCATGTCGAGAGGTGCGAAACACAAGCGGGAGGCTGGAAAGGAAGGGCTTCTGGAGACCTTTGCTTGCCATTAAAATGCAAGCCGCCAGGTAAAATCAAAACGTAGCACCTTCTTGTTATCAAACCCCCTTGAATGCTGACTGAAATTGGTCGCAGTAACAGCTTCCACCTTCCACTGTATATGATGCATGCAGAGATCTACTGGCAGACTCACGAGCAGGAAGCCACACCTGCACTGCTTGCGGAGGCCTCATGCGATTCTGGAACAGACGTCGTCTGCATCCCTTGGACAATGGGGCCAAAGACTGTAGAGCAACACTCCTGGCCAAATATGCCCTTTTTGCACCTTCTGAGTCAGAGGGCAACGAGGAAGCGTGACATGCTGCCTGTTCGACAGAAGCTGGCCTCTTCCTTGAGTCTAACAAGCTTCCGGCGCTCCAAGTACATGGCCCCCTCCTTTTGAAATGCTGGGAGGACATGGTAGACCCTGAAGTCATGGCATACGTCAGTGACAGCAAAAGCACGGAGCGCCTCTGACTTTGGTGTCTTGTCTGCCGCTAGGCCGCTAGACATCACTAGACACCTTCCAGTTGATGCTGTCCACCTCCTCAGCATCAGGGATGCAGTCAAGGTTGAAGGCTACTGTCTTCACGTCCGATGCGCTACTACAGCTTTCATGGGCCTTACCTTTCAAAAGATCAGCGAGGCACCAGTACACGGCCTGCAAAAGCAGACCAAGGACTAGATTGTGACTGGATGCCTCTTGTACGGCGCATTGCCGTGCATTGTGCCGTGCATTGAGGTGCGGACTTGAAACCCTTCGGATCCTTACAGAGGGTATGCGCGGTATCAGGTGCTTCTCAAACCGTTCCCACGTTCTGGAATCGCTCTGAAAATCAAGAATCAAGCAGTGTCAAGCAGACATGTGCAACATCACATGCTCCGACATCTGGTGTGGTTAGGCGCAAGACACTCCCGACTTGCAGCGAGCAAGCACTGAAGGCACGACATTCTGACATATCACGCGGCAGGTCTCTGAAGAAGTTGCAGGCGCGGAATGGACCGATATTGGAACAACACACATGACTGTTTCGCGGGAAAGCAAACTTGCGGTTATGTGCACGCAGACGTGAAGCACAGAGGCAAACTTCTCACGTCTCAAGGCAGCCCGTCTAACCATCAATTTTTAAAGTCCCGCTACACAGATGTCACGAGATCTTTGGCACAGTAATGTGCAAAACCCAGCGACAGTACTCAGTAGCCCGGCAATGTCTATGAATAGGCCCTGTTGCTGCAAGAATACGGGTAAACAGACAATCACTGCATGGTACTGAAGTTGGCTGCGGCTCCAAACTCTGGAAGACCAGCGCGGTAGAAAACTGCTAGCCACAGAATTGGCGAAGACTTGCTAGGTGATCAGAAGCTCCTCCCGATTTCCGAGCGGCTATGCAGGGCGCGAGCAGTTTTCTACATCCCTTTGCCAAATTCTAAGCGCAACCTGCAAGACAACTTGCTTCGCTTTCTCAACCATGGGTTTGGAATGGGCGTTCACGAGCATCTAGAGCAGAGAGATAATGGAGAACCAGATCCACAATCATTGCATGGTTTCACTCGCATCGGCTGCATGTCTACTCACGGCAAGCTGAGGATCTGAACATTCTTGTCACGATAAGTGAGCTGTATTCTCCCGCTCATGCAATTCCACAAACGAAAAACATGTTAATCCTCCGCCACGTCCATAATCGCAAGAAACGTGCATGTTCTCTGCGGTCCTGTCTGTCAACTGCATTTACCACTGTCTTCGTACAATATTGCAGGAGGGCATGGAGCACGCTAAGCGGAAGTGTTTGTAAGAAGCCTTTGCATATGCACGTCTTGAGCTTCGGATCACGGCCAGCATGGCCAGAATGTCCAGCAAGCTCTGCAACATCACCTGGATGAGCTCTGCAAAGATTGCAAGCGTAAAAGGTGCTCTGAGTGCGATGCCAACCTGGTGCTCCAAAGGCTGCTCTTCCTCCATGGCGTCTTGGCCTTGCGCCTCGGCCGCCTTGGCCTTGGCCTTCGTGCAGATACGGCAACGTGGCAAAGGCTGTCGGCAGCCTGCAGCGTTCCTAGCTTCAGCTGAGCTTCAGCTGAGCTTCAGCACCTTAAAATGAGACCCTCTCAGCGCTCTCAACGCGGCCATTCAGTGAGGTGAGGTCAGGTCTGCTATGAAGAGAGATTTTTTTTGGAGAGCAGATTCATTCGCAGCACGGGCTGAGTTGCGTGTATGTAGCGGACGGCCACAAGTTAAATTGCTTTGACGGTGCCTATCGTCTGCTAGAGGCAAGGCATGCAAGGCACGTCAGGCACGCTATCACCGAACCCGAAAAGCGAGATTTTACGAGCCAAGGTGGCAAAGCGCTAAAACTCGCCTGGTCCCAATGAAAACATGAAAAGAGTTTTAATTTCCTAGCAGAGGCAGATCACCTCGTGGCCGACAACTTTGGAAGTCACAGGCTTTCGGCCATCTTTGTTGCGACGTTGCTTGAGTCAGTCTGACGCGCGGGGAGGTCCTGGAAGCCTTGAAAGCTTTGGAACCCTTGGAAGATCAGCTTGCGAAGGCGGGGGTCTGTCTGAAGGCCCTCAACCTGAACAAAGCGTGCTTCATGCTGTCTCAAGCGTGGGGTGCGGCTTTTTTACGCAGCAGTTTGAGCGGCTGGGGTACATCATCCTGCAACCAGAGTCCCGTCGAGGGTGAGTTGACGCCACAATGCCAGACCACGCCTTGCAATTCTCTTGCTGCTACAAGCTGCGATGCAGCTGTTCGCGGCTTGCAGGACGCTGCATGGAGGAAGTCTGAGCCGCAACTTACATACAGCTTGAGCTTGGGCCAAGGCTTGGGGTTCCACCTGATTCAATTTGAAGCAGGGGAAAAAACCTGGGCCCAGACCAGCTGGCACTGAGCCAGAGAAGCGCAGCAGCCGCAACACTTGCAGCAGCGTGAAAAACTCTGTGACGTGCCATTTTTTGCAAGAACAAGGATGAACACAGATTTAGCGCCTGGCTTGGGATTGTTGATTTCCAGAAAGGCAAAGCATAACCAAGGAGTTGTTTGGGACCACACTCTGTGGCTCCAGGATTCTGCGCGTCGAGGTGCTGCAGGTGCCGCAGGTGCCGCAGCGCTTGTGCATCGCTGCATCGAGTTAGAAGTCACCACACGAAAACTCCCTTGGATTCTACTTGGGACTCTCTCCAGGCTGGGCTTAGCGGCCCCCAATGCCAACACAGGCCGCGACAGCGCAGGCAGCGCAGAGCTGCCTGGATTTCAGGGTTGGGCACAGGTGTTTCTTAAGCACGCGCAGGGCCCAAGGTTTTTGCCTCACTCTGCCTCTGCCCACACCATAGTAGATCTGTGGACCAACGTTAGGCTCAAGCTCGTGCCACAAGCCCCCATAACGAATCTCTCGCTGCCCGTTGCGGCACCTTGCAAGCCTTGCAGTCCAAATCCTGAAGGCAGCACTTCGCTTTACACCTGCACAGCCGGCACAGTCCGCGCAACCGCGCAGACTGCACAGCGAATCGCCGAAATCCTCCAAACCGGAAAGCCACTCAGTAGCGACTGTAGCTGGCGTGAATGGCAACGCTTGCGAAGAATGCAAGCGAGAATGCCGGTAGAAATGTTTGGTCGAAGACTCGACCAAGCAATCATATGTGCCACATTGCACGAGGCAAGCACAGAGTCTCAAGACGGTCTCCTGCAAAGACGACCAAAGCAAGCCCGCATCCCTTTTTGAAGGCTCTGGCCACCCCTTACTTGCCAATCCAGTGGATCCCCGTGGATTCTGCAATATATAGACGAAGGCTCGCCTTTTTTTTTGGTAGAGGGTCTCGCCTGCCGCTCTCGGACCAAAAGTGGTGGAAATAAACGTGACCTCCAGGGATGCCCAGTCTCGCGAATCTCGCTTGAAGATGCTGGGAGACTGCCTCGCACACTCATAATCACAGGCTGGCTGGCCAATCGTCAGCTTAGGCTTTTGGGCTTGGACTGTGACCGCACTTTCGAGTAACGTTGCGGTCATGGCGAAAAGGAAACGTGCTTCAAGGTGGCGCAGAGACCAGGCTAAGGGATAAAACAGGTGACAGGTTAGGGTTGACAGATGTTGACAGGCTGCGGGAGGTTGAGGCGGCTTGCCGTGCTTGCCGTAGCCCTCAGCCGCCTTAGCCGAGGAGTGTTGCACGCGTTGCGTGCTGCCAGACTGCCAGACCTACCCCACAATCCTACAACGCAATCCATTCTATGACTGCCATCCCTCAGCTTCGGCACACAGCTGGGAACAGCCGACCTACCCGCCATGCCCGCCTGCAAGGGGCTGGCTGTGGGCCCGGATGAGAGCAGCATCCAGTCGCACTAGGCAGGAGCGTCACGGAGACCAGCCCACTCAAAAAAAGTGAAATAGCGGCAGTCGGAGTACCATCGCGGTAGTCGCCAGAGCACTCTGGGCACGTGGCCGAATATGTTGGGCATGTCGATTCAGCATATGGGGCTGGCGCAGAAAGCATGCCATTCATAGGGTCCTTAGGCAGGTGCATGTCACGGAAACAGGTGTTGGCAGGTGTGGCGGGCATGGCTGGAGAAGTGCAACCGCTGTTTGGGACGCCTGGCCCCGTCCTTCACTTTGCTCATGTGGACATGCGGAAACGTACCATCCGCTAATGTTTTAGGATCCGGTATGAGATTTGACGGCGGATGCAGGAACGAGTGCAACAGCTGCGGGCGACAGAATGCTTTGTCCTGGTGATGCTGGAGATGCCGGAGAGGTTGGAGGAGCACCTCAAGAGTTGGCCTTAAGTGCCAGGGCAACTTCACTTGGACAGCAGCTCCTTCCAAGCGCAGCTCCAACCTGAAGCATCTGAAGATATCTGAAGCTCAGTTTCAAGGAGAGACTGACAGTGATTTGACTGTTCTTTTTCGGCATCCTGAGGCCTCCAGCGAAGCAACGTCCACACCACAGGACAGCTGACGACTTCTGCAGGGACGGCAAGTTTGGCTTCATGAATGACTTAAGCACCAAATAATCAGGCTGCACTCCTGGCTCTACTCTGCTCGGTGGCATTTGGTGAGGCTGGCTGCTGCTCTTCATTGGCCTCGAACGTTGACGACGTGGGTGGTCACCCAGCTGGCCCCGGGGACCCGTCCGTGGAAAGTCCTGAGGCATTCCTGGCATTCTCCAAGCAAATCGGAAGAAGAGGCTGTTTACGCCTTACGCATGTCTACAAGGTGATCAGATCAATTGAGCCTGCATTTGGGCACCGTAGCTGCAGCGGCCAGTCACGCGAGCATCTGCTTTTAGCCAGACAAGCAGGCGAACAATGCAAGCCAAAGCTTTAAAAAACTAACTGACGGAAACGACTTTGATCTCTCCAGCTGCGCGAGACAGCATTCCTTTCATTCCTTTTTGTTTTTGCTGGCTCAAGCACGACGGAATCGCCTTTTTATGCTGGACTGCGTCTCATTGAAGTCCAGCTCTGGGTCATTGTGTTCAGAGAAGCCATCGAGATCCATGGAGCCAACAGCAGCAACAGCGTCATGAAGAACACGTCCAGGGACTGTTAAGACCTCATGAGAACGGGCAAGACATGAAAGCTCGGCGCTGCAGGCACACCTTACATGTGAAGCTCTTGAAGGGCATGCCAGTTTAGCTGGCTAAGCGCAAGCCAGGCCTGGGCGAAGCCCCCAAAACATAGGAACTAGACCCTGGACTCCCTGCTTCTGCCGAGCCGAGCCGAGCCGAGGCCCCCACCCCGCCCCCCCCCCTTTTCCCCTAGGCACCAGCTTCCCAGACCTTTTCATACGTCGTAGAAACGGCCGAAGCTCTCCATCGCTCCTACATTCCTGCATGACATTGCATCAGCAAATGCTCTGCAGCTGAGTGACCCATGACCCGCGCCATCCGGATCCTCTATGAGTGCTGAGACACCCCGATCCCTTGGGATCTTCCTTAGCAGAAGGATTCCAACAAGGAAAACAAAAGCCACCCCAAAAACTATTCCTGCCAGGAAGGAGTAAGAGCTGCTCAGCTCTCTTTTCAAGGCCGCCGTGTAACTGTGAACCATGTAGTACCTTAGAGCCAACATAGCCGCTATGCCCTCCTCTGCAAGATAAAGGGCCTCTTGAATCAGATGCGGGGCGTGTAGCGGGCAGATGCGTTGTAGACCGTGGAGAGCACAATGAGTCCACATAATAGCACCTCGACGGGCGAGTCGATGCCGCCCTATTGAGAATCACCCGGCTGAGGCAGGGACATGTATCCACTGGCTAGTATAGCCTGTTCAATGGAGAATCTGATTGGCGTTGCAGCAGAGCAGGCTAGGGCTCTCACACAGCAGAGACACCGGGATGCTCACCAGGACCTGGTTTACCCATCGCGGCTGTTGGGCAAAAAGTGTAAGTGGCAATTTGCAAGATTTGGTCAGAGTTGCAGAGGTGGCGTGTAAGGCCATGTAGACGATAGCGTAGGAGATGGGGAACTCGTTGCATTCGACAAAGGCACCGTGCACCTGCAATAGAAATGTAAAAGAAGGCAGATGGGTGGCTAAGAGAAACTGATCAGTTGCCTGCGGGGGCTTGCGCAGGATCTTTGCCACTATGTGGCCTCCAGGGCCACGCATGGCCCAGTGGAAAATCGTGTCCTGAAAGATTGCAGCAGGAGAGCTTTGGGCGCAGCTTGGTGCAGCTGAAATGCAGATGAGCAACATACCCCCACTTGGGGCATCGTAGGCCGACGGCCAGCAGCCAGGAGCTGTAGAGGACGAACCAGATGCCATATACGGCTGCCGCATTCAAGTAGATCTCTCTCCTCATAGCGCGCCATGCCACCCCCCAAAATCGAGGCCCATGAAAGTAGATTGTCCTTGTCATGTCATCGAAGAAGGTGTACCTCCAAGCACAGCATCGACCACAACATATGCTACAGGCTGTTTCAAACATCTTCAAACCATGTTTTTTTCGGCAAAGCGCGGGAAGATGTGTGGGAAAGAGGCATGGAGCGCGGTTTTCCTCCAGCCAAGCTCGTACATCACCAGGGAGGGGAACCTGAGGCTGAAGACCACACACATGTCATATTTAAGTGGGAAAGTCACTTCAAACACAGGACTGCGAAGGACCAATCTGCAGCTCTGCTCCATTGGATTTCACTTTACAATTTTGCGCCTTCCAGTGCTCTTTCTGTTGGAGCCTTGCTCTTGCCTGAGCATGAAGGAGCAAGAAGCAAGTCACAATGAGACTCGAGGAGGATGTCGCTCAAGGGATGCACAGATTTGGTGGATGACGCAGGTAACCTTGAGGGCCCACATCCCAACTTTGGAATCACCGCCGCACTCAAAGAGAGCAGGCCGAGCTGAAGGCAACGTCGCCGAACAGCGCCAACACCGGTAGAATCAAGTTCTGCGACCCCCGAGCATGAGAGAGGTTCAGAAAAACTACCACGGGACAGAAACCAAAGAGGTCTGCTTTGTTGGCATCCTCAAACGGCTGCGCGATGCAACTCAGCATCAACGGCAACCCGTCCTTGAATGCAACTTGCGCAACGGATCCCTGCCAAGAAACGGCGAGCGAAGAAGACGAGCTTAAGAGCTAACTTGTGGTGAGCGATGCCTAGATGCCACGCGACCAGAGCTTGATGGACACTATGCTAAAACAACCTTCAATACGTGATCATCCTGGCGAGCAATGCAGGATCTTTAACGCAATCATGGCCCAACTGAGTCGTCCTCAAGCACCCCACTAGACCAGATTGAAACTGGGGTTTCTTGGCTCGAGTTTGACAACATGGTCCCCGTTAATCTAGTCCGAGGTTTGCACGTTTTGTTTTTTGGCTATGGCGGCTATGGCTCGCCCCAGTAGTCCAAGGCGTAGTCCAAAGTTTTGATGATATTTTCTGCGCCCCATTGTCCATTGGTCCAAGAATCCAAGGGCTCGAGGAGTTCTTTTACAGTTCTTGTTAAGCAAGAATGGCACCTCATGGGAACGAAGCACAATTTTTTGCATCTGACCATGAATGCACCTCGCCTGTTCCGCGATCCAAGATAAGCAAATTTCAAAGATGTCGCCGGGTACTGAGCAGCCTCCTCGAAAACCATACAGCTTCTTGCTGTAGCTCGTGCCTTGCTCCAAAAAAGCGGCCCCGCGGTAAATCCGCTGAGGTCCCCGCCTCTGGCGTTTGGGGAGCAAGACTCTACCCTCCCAACAGATCGGTGCGCAAAGCCTCACCCCCCGCCCACACCCGAACCCCCCATGAGAGGTAACCTACGCGTTGGTCCTCTCTACACCACAGACAGCAACGCGGTCAGGTGTCTCCTTCCCTACACTCAGGCAGCACAGAGTTGCTGGTAGTCCCTACGCTTGAACTTTGAGCATAGGACATCATGCATCGGTGTGTTAAACTCTACATTTCCACCTTCTCCTTGGCGTTGTATGCTAGGTAGTCAGTTCTTGGCAAGTGTATGGTCGAATGTTGTTTGGCTCAAGGCCCCCTCTTAGCTGAAGAAGCAGTGGGAATAATTGTAGCTATTGCCTTTCGCATTTGACCTACACGATAGACCAAGCAGAGCTGTGACGACCAGTCGAGTGAAAAAGTTTGCATGGAAGCAAGGGCACTGTGCTTGCGGTTTACAACCTCACTATTGGCCAGTCACCCTTTTACAGGTTAGCAGCCGTAGACGCGGCAAGTCTGGTCTGCGATGTTATCATTGGAAGGCAGTTCAGGATCCGCCAGCACAAATCAGACCGCCACCTTTGGATACTCTATGAGTGATACTGCTGAGGAGGCGCATGCTGCGCCTGCCCGCGGTGTTGCGATAACGGTGAATCATGAGGGGCTTGGGACTCCCACCCCAATTTGGCTTTAGCCAGGGCAGTAGCTCCTTTGTTTGACACTATCACTAACTGCTAATGTAGGCCTGTTACATATCACGTTGTTTGGACAAGGGGCGTCTTCCAGTGGCGCAGATGGGGTCACCGGCTCTGGAGGAGGAAGCGGTGGAGGTTATCCTGGTTTGCCTAAGGGTGGAGACCCGGAAGGCAACGGAGATGTGGATGATGACAATGGTGGCAGACCACCGAATCTCGGAGGCGATCCGGACCCATCTTCATCCTCATCATCCTCCAGTTCCTCATCGTCGTCATCCAGTTCCAGCGACAGTATCTCGTCATCATCAGAAGAGAGTGATAAGAAGAAAAAGAAAAAGAAATGAAAGGACAGGGTAACCAGGAAGGAGGCAGAAAAGGTCTCAGCGGCAGTCTGGAAGTCTCAGTTGACGATGTCATTGGTTACGGCTTCTGGGACTCGGATCATCAAGAGTGGTTGAAATGGCTGGCTCCTGCTTGGAACCCTAATCCCAAACCTGATGACCTTAAAGAAGTGAAGAAGGAATACCGAGCTATTGACATCAAGATGTCTCTAGCTATGACTGGCATGTTGAAAACAGCAGGCGATCCCGCTCGCACTGTCAGGATCGAGGTTGAGAAGCTACAGCGTCATCGCGCCAAGCACTCAAAGATCATGTCAAGAAGTGACCTCCCTCTTTCTGATCAGCTTCCAAATTCGGATGTACGCAAACCATATGACCTATTGATGAGCTTCAATGTCAAGCGTAGCAAACTCGATAAGGAGAAGAAGAATCTGGCGGAGAAAGAAAAGGCTTGGATCGAGATTACCAATCCCAAGCCTGGCGCTCCAGCCACGAAAGCTGAAAAAGAGAAGGCCAAGAAGGAAAAGGAGAAGCAGGAGAAAGAAAAGAAAGAGAAAGAGAAGAAAGAGAAAGAGAAGAAGGAGAAGGATAAGAAGGAAAAGGAGAAGAAAGAAAAGGAACGAAAGGAAAAGGAAAAGAAAGAGAAAGAGCAGCAAGGGGACAAGCCAGGTGTCCTGGTTGTCCTAGACGCAAAGGCAAAATCCCATCCTCATCCCAAGGGCAAGGGAAAAGGCGGTAGGTCCTCATCCCCCAAGGATGGTAAGAGGCCGTGCTATTGCTACCTTGTAAAGCGCGATTCTAGGAATGGAAACTGCTGACACTGGGGTCTAGCCACAAGTTGGGCACTTAACAGGCAGAACACTAAAGCAATGGCACACACTTTTCACTATAGCGCGAAAGGCTGCTACCGAATGTCAGTCCTACAGAAAGGACAAAGAAGAAAACAAGAAAGATGCAGTGTAGCTACTACACACTGCAATTAAGAATTATGTGATAAGTATTACCTTTGTACAAAGTACTTGAGCACATCTCATCACTACGGTCCGAGACAGCTACGGGCATGCATACGTGCTGCTCACATGCCTCATGTCCATGTACAAGCACTCCCCCCGTTCTGTTTGACAGAACGTCACCATGCACTATGTACATATGACCGTTCCTCCAGAACTGGGCTCATGCTCCAAGGACGGCTTCATGGCATCTTGTATCTTCTGCAGTATCCGATGCTCATGGTTTTACACCAATCAGCCAGTAGAACTGGCTGAGGGCTGCTGTGGATACAGGATCTCATGGAGAGACGGAGGCAACGGTAGCGGTTCTCCGCTAGAGTAAGCACAAGGCCTCCGCATAATTACCGGGGCATCTGTACGATTTCTCGCACACTGCTCGGAGGAGACATGCCATACCTTGCCATGAGTGCAAAGGTAGATATTTCCCAGTGCATGTGCCGTAGGTCTCCGATTGCGAATTGTTTGCAGATCCTGTTCATTTTTGATTTTGCTACTGCCCGTTGTAATCTGCGAATAATTCTCGCTTGACTACTGCAAGTATTCAGGAGATCTTCGAACTGATGATCAGTTTGAGCTGCGGTTGAGCTTGCTTCATAACTGACCTCCTGGGGATCTTCCTGATCCTCTGTCTGAGTCGTAATAGACTCTGTGGTAGGTATCACGTGGCCTCTAGCAATGGACCGTCCTCTGGCAAGGGACCGACCACGGGAGTGTCTGCGGTTACGAAGGTCTTTAGACCTTCCCGAGCACAGATTAGGACCACAATACAGCCAACCAGACACCAGTTCTCCTGCGATTCTGCCTTTTCAAGACAGATGGCCCACAAAGAAATAGTAGAGGCTAACATAGCCAACGCTCGGTTCGACTGAGCAGTCTTTACTACCTGGGACACACATGCCTGAGCACGGATCTTCCCGACCTGTACCAGCTGCAGTCCTATCACGGTGACTAAGCAGAGGAGGAATATCCCAAAGGACCAAGAGTCCAACGGAATTCTTGTGGAGGTTTCCCCTTGCGCTGGAATATTACCTGCTTTGACGGCTGTCAACCGTGAAAACAACAGCAAGGCAATAAGTGCTTTGGTCGCTACCGACGGAGCCTTTGAGGCGGCTACCGATGGGCGTGGCGGCTCATTACACTCCTTCATGTGTGGAGTATACAGATCCGTGACCCGCGTTAAATCTGCAAGTCGCTGAGGACCCACTGCCTCTGCCTACGTAAACAACCCCGGAAGATGCGCTGCTCGCCATTCATCATCTTCCAGTGCTTCACGCACTACGGTCGCCCGAAGGCGAATATGCCTGGTTCTCCACGAACCCGATTCTAACTGACATAACTGCAAAGTAGCAGTGTTATCAATGTATAACCCTTTACGAAGCACGTTCTTAGCTCCTGACCACCAGACCTTCGGCCGTGTCCTCAACCTCATCAGCAACCACACTTGGTAAATGCCAAAACAGACCCCCACTGTGGCGCCAACCTTAAGGACGGATCTTCCAGAAATGGCCACTGAATCTCGGGGGCTCCCGGCGATAGTCCAGTTGCAAATGCTGAGACTGTTGCGTTGCTTCGGATGCATAGGGCTCCGGGCGGTAGTCCAGCATTGATTGCTGGGGCTGTCAAGCTGCCCTGAGGACGTAGGGCTCCGGGCGAAAGTCCAGCAGTAATTGTTGGAGCATTGAAGCTGCTTTGAGATAGTAGGGCTCCGGACGCTGATCCAGCAGTAATTGCCGGGGCTGTAGCGTTGCTCTGAGGGCTGAACATTGGATTAATCATAGGCATCATTGTATTTTGATTGGCAGCAAGCTGGGTAGTCATAACAGCGAGTTGTATGCTTGCGGCATGGGCCTGGTACAGTACGTTGTATCCAAACCTGTTGAACTGCTCCTCATTTGCAAATTGGACCGAAGTGGTCATAGGACGAACCGGCATCGCTAACTTAGGTCGTGTTCCTCTGGTGGGGAACATCCTCACAAGTTGTCAACACAATACAATACAAAAGCTGAACAGCCAAGATTTGGGCCTAAATTGCAGTGCTTGCCAGTTTCATTGGAAGAAATCAAGACATCTTCAATAGGACGTCAGCAAAGAAATCAATCGATTGTTTCATAACTTCATGACCTGAACATCAAACAGGTAAATCAATTGAATGAATCAACATTTTCAGAAGGAAACTCTTCCCGTCGCTTGGAAATCAGAAGGAATCAAAACCTTCGGTTGGTTTCATTGCGTATTCAGGTTGGTGAGGACAACTCCCCACTAAGGNNTGGGTGGCCACTGCAATTTTCTTCAT